CTAGAACCATAATGATTTTATTTTGTTTATTCAAAAGCCCTGATCACAACTAAATGTTTTTTTTTGGTTTTTAAATTTAATTATTTTTTTAAATTATTTTTTTTTTTTTTTGGTTTTTAAAGAGTATTGAAATTATTTGATAAAATTTATGTTTACACACACACATACATACATTCAATCAACGGAAAAAAGTAGAGGGGGTGGGGTTGGGGGGTAAATAACATTAATGAAAATCGAAAAGTAATGTTGAAATATATAAGTATGGAGCTAAAGGGGCAAGGTTGGGGAAAGGGGTCGATTTTTTTAGAGGATTTAGGGCTGGACATTTCTCCAAAGAACACAGTTTTAAATACAGTTTTACATTTAGCAAACAAACGCAAATGAAAACTAAGAGAAAAATGAATATTTTTTAGGTTTTGTGTTTTTTTTTTCATTTGATTGGAAATTAAAATAAAAAAAATTATTTGAAAAAAAAAAGAATAGCAGAAAACTGAAAGGTCTTAATTGAAATTTTAAGACATATAAGTGTTGTGAATAAAATATCACTAATACGCCACATAGTCTTCAGCCATTATATTGAAAGCCAATTGGGCGTATACATAATGACATAACTCATTCGCGCAATGGAGTCTTTTTGTCTTCTATGAACAGGGGACCTTTGAGAGACTTTCAATGGGCCAAAGAATGGTCTCCTGTGGATAGAAGACCTTTTGAACGCATTCAACTTCTGAAGGCAAAGCCTCAAAAGGCTTTTAATGGTCATAAGACATTTAAAAAGTTTTCCCTGGACACACAAGCTCTTAAAGTTTTTCGGTGAACAAACGATTCTTGGACATCCGGACTAATAACGTCTTATTGTTTTAGAACAGGTCATATCTGGAAATAGCAGAACATGCAGAAAAAAGAAAGGTATCATCCGGTATTGCCGACAGATGTATACCGACAGCCAATGTTCGATCGATATTTTGACTTCTGTGTGAATTTGAAGAGAATTTTTAAAAATCTTGATCCGATCTCTACCATCTTTATAACAGATCTTATGTTGATGGAAATATTCAGATGTACCAAGTCTGAATGGAATCGGATTTTAATTTCGCGTTTTTTGAGCTTCATAGGATATTCAAAATTTTGACCTTTTGTCGGGGAGGTACCAGAAGGAGTGGACCGATATATCCGACTTTCACAGCACATCTTGTGTTAGTTCAAATAATGGGATGTGTGAAATATGAAGAGAAACTGATGCTTATTTCGGGTTTTATAATCGTTTTGGTTATTCCAAATCTTTTACCCTTTGTGTGGGAGGTACCAGAAGGAATGGTCCGATCTCTACCATATTTATAACAGATTTTGCATTGATGGAAATATTCAGATGTACCAAGTCTCAATGAAATCGGATGTTAATTTCGCGTTTTATGAGCTTCATAGGATAATCAAAATTTTGACCTTTTGTGGGGGAGGTACCAGAAGGAGTGGACCAATATATTCCATCTTCTCAGCTAATCTTGTGTTAGTTAAAATAATGGGATGTGTAAAATATAAAGAGAATCTGATGCTTATTTCGGATTTTATAATTGTTTTGGTTATTTCAAAACTTTGACCCTTTGTGGGGGAGGTACCATAAGGAATGGTCCGATCTCTACCATCTTTATAACAGATCTTGTGTTGATGGAAGTAGTGCGGTGTTCCAAGTCTAAATCGAATCTGATGTTAATTTCTCCTTTTTATGAGCTTTATGGGTATTCAAAAATTTGACCCTTTGTGGAAGAGGTAGCAGTAGGAGTGGACCGATTTATTCCAACTTCACACCAGACCTTGGGTCAATAAAAATATTGTGATGTGTGTAATTTGAAGACAATCGGACTCTTACATCACATTTTATAGGAGTTGAAATTATATTGTCCATTTTCGCACCTGACGTAGCACTGATGGAAATATTAGGTTTTGCAAAGTTGGAGCAAAATCGGATTATCCTTTCTCTTTCTAGGCAGTAAAACTTTTTTTTTTTTGAAAATTTCGACATTTTGGGAGGAGGTACCAGAAGGAGTGGACCAATATTGCCCATCTTCGAACTCGATCTTAGTTTCATAATAATATTACGATGTACCAATTTTGAATCTTATCGGATACTCCTTTCGAGAGTTATCGTGTACACCAGCCAGCCAGACAGACGGACGGGCATCGCTAGAGCGACTCCAAATCTCCTGAAACGAATTTGGTCCAATGAGACCTAGGGTCTAAAACCGTTATTACAATGAGGCACTTTTTGGCAGTAACAAATGCTATATACCCCCTCTAGCCATATGACTGATGGTATAACTAGCTGTTTTCCATATCGTATGTGTATTGTCATTACGTATACGCCGAATTCAAAGTTATTATTTTAAGAAGGGCCTTCAAATTTGTTCCCATGAAATATAGATCGTATGAGTGATGCCATTATTTATACGCATTATTTATTTCTTTTTTTAAATCCTTTAAATTATTTTTTAATTTCATTATTTATTACAAAATTATGTAAAACCCACTCCCTTTCAGTTTTCTACCATTTTTCATGTGAAATATAACTTTGTTAAACATTTGCAATTAAGTGTTATAATTTGTTTTTGTTGTAAAGTTATTGCTGCTCTCTTTTTATTTATTTTTTTAAAGAAGCCAGTAGCAGATGTTTTTTGTTGTAATTATACAAACATTTGATTGAAAAAAATCTAAAAATAAAAAGTTACAAATCCTAATGAAAAAAGCCTTGATTTTTGATACAGAATGAAGTGAAATGTAATTAAATAAAATTGAACGGGTTACATATCATGTAAGAACACTTATATTTAATTTTCGTGGAGAAATAGAGAAATAGTTGTTGTCTGAAAATTGCATCAATGAGTGAAACTTTTATATTCTACTAGAGATCAAATTAATTTGATGGACAATCATTTTTTTGTCGAGTAACCTAATTACGAAATTTCGACATCGTTTCGATATGCTTACATAACATTTCACAAATAGTATCATTCCATTTCGAATAAAATTTATTGACAGTACAATATCTTAGGGTATGTGTTCCCAGAATGCAGTTTCGGTGAAATTTAAACAAAATATATTTTTTTGTATATACTAGATTTATTCAAATATCCTTAAAAATCCTTTGGAAAAAATCTTCAAAATCCACGCCTAAATGTCATTTCTTTTTAAACCTACGAATTAAAACCGCAAGACACGCCCATAATTTAAAATAAAAAAAAATAACGATGAGGGTCCACTGAATACACATTTGAAGAAAAATTATGCTTATGGATTAAATGGCTCCTTAAAATCTATTATTACAAAATCCTCTTCGTGCAGTCCCCGTTTATGACCAAAAAATAAAAAAATAATTAGAAAAGTTGGAAAATCCCTCATAAAATATTCTCCGAAAAATTCTTAAAATGTCCTATGGAAAATATTATATCTAGAAAATATTCTTAAAAATTAACACATATGACCATAATAGTCCGTTATGACGTGTTCCAAAAAATGATGCGGTCTTTTTTTAAATATTCTCTAAGGGGCTTTCTGGGGTTTTCTAAAGAATATTTTACTGATGAGTATTTTTATGATTGTATTAGGGAGTTTTTGAAAAATTTTAGAGAAAGAGGGGGAGTGAGAGAGATGAGGGGGGAGAGAGAGGAGGGGAGAGAGAGAGAGGAGAAGGGAGAGAGAGAGGAGAAGGGAGAGAGAGAGAGGAGAAGGGGGAGAGAGAGAGGGGAAGGGGGAGAGAGAGAGGGGAAGGGGGAGAGAGAGAGGGGAAGGAGGAGAGAGTGGAGAAGGGAGAGAGAGTGAGAGTGGAGAAGGGGGAGAGAGTGGAGAAGGGAGAGAGAGTGAGAGTGGAGAAGGGAGAGAGAGTGAGAGAGAGAGGAGGAGGGAGACTAAAAAAGAGAGAGAGGAGGAGGGAGACTAAAAAAGAGATAGAGGAGGAGGGAGAGAGGAGGAGGAAGGGAGGAGGGAGAGAGGAGGAGGAAGGGAGGAGGGAGAGAGGAGGAGGAAGGGAGGAGGAAGACAGAAAAAGAGGAGGAGGAAGACAGAAAAAGAGGAGGAGGGAGATAGAAAGAGAGAGAGAGAGAGAGAGAGAGAGAGGAAAGACCCTGTCAAAAGGTCATTGACCTCTCTGAGAGAGAGAGAGGAAGAGGGAGAGAGAGAAAGGCAGAGGTCATTGACCCCCTGTCAAAATGTCATTGACCCCCTGTCAAAAGGTCATTGACCCCCTGTCAAAAGGTCATTGACCCCCTGTCAAGAGGTCATTGACCCCCTGTCAAAAGGTCATTGACCCCATGTCAAAAGGTCATTGATCTCTCTCTCTCTTTCTCTCTCTCTTTCTCTCTGTCCCTCTCTCTTTCTCTCTGTCCCTCTCTCTTTCTCTCTGTCTCTCTCTCTCTCTCTCTCTTTCTCTCTCTCCTCCATATAATTTCCCCTCCCTCTCACTCTCTTTTTTTCTCTCTCTCTTTCTCTCTCTCCTTCTCTCTCTTCTTCTCTCTCTTCTTCTCTCTCTCTCCTTCTCTCTGTCCTTCTCGCTCTCTCTCCCTACCATGTTCCATCCCTCTTCCTCCCTCTCTCCGTCTTTCTCTCTGTCTCTCTTCTATCTCATCCCCTCTTTCTCTCTCTCTCTCTCTCCCTCTCTTTCTCTCTCTCCCTCTTTTCTTTTTTCCCTCACATTCCCTTTATTTCATTCTCTCTCTCTCTCTCTCTCTCTCTCTTCATCTCTGTCTCTCTTCCCTCTCTTTCTTTCTCCCTCTGTATCTGTCTCTTCCTCTGCCTTTTTCTCTCTCTCCCACCCTCTTTCTCTATTTCTCACTTTCTGTTTTTCTATTTTTCTCCCCTTCTCTTTTTCTTTCTCTCTCTCCCTATCTTTCTTTCTCTCCCACTCATTATCTCCTTCTCTCACGCTCATTCTCCCTCCATCTTTTTCTAAAAATTGCCCAGAAAATTTTCTTTAAAAACTTGCTAATACAAACGTACAAATCCTCATATTT